CGACAAGGCGAAGCAGTTCAGAACACCGCAACGCAATGCAAAGCAACGCAAACCATTGCAACGCAATGCAAAGCAACGCGAAACAGCGCGAATCAATGCAAGACAGCGCACAGTGCAACCCTCAGCAATGAACAACAGCGCAGGGGCTCAGCGGCTCCCGGCCGAAAGGGGGTGTGCTATTTGTCTTAGAGCAGCTTTTGTTTTTTATGTTATGGGATTTGCCAAGCTGTCCAGGAAGCAAGTAAGTGGACCCCCGGATCTGGAATCGGCTGGGCGACGTGCCTCCCCCCCGGTGCCCGTGGCTTCCCATCGCATTAGTGTCGTGCGTGCTCGAATTCCTGTCAGAGAAGCGCGGGGCAGACGCATCGGGACCAGAGGCCCCGAGAGAGCTCCAGAGACGCTGTTCTGTTGAACGCTGCGGGTGCGTTCGCATGAGCAGCCAGGAGGGAGGTCGAGGGCGCGAGGGATGCAAGGGGGAGCGTTGGCGTTCAATTCGGCCGCGGAGGGCACTTGGGGAAACCGGGCTTGCGCGTGCATCGGCAGCGGGAGCGCGGCTCGCACGCCGAGGCTCGATGAGGCCCGCGTCCCGGGCGCGGGCGAGTCCAGGCTTGGGGGCACGAACGTCGCGATCGGGGGCGTCGCCGCCCATGGTTGCTGGGCTTGTTTTCCACCATCACCGCCATAAGTTGGAGGGGGAGGGGGTCTTTCCCCTCCTCCTCCTCCTCCTCCTCCTCCTCTTCTTCGTCCTCCTCCTCCTCCTCCTCCACCTCCTCCTCCTCCGCCTCCTCCTCTTTGTCTTCCTCTTCCTCCTCCTCCTCCTCCTCTTCGTCCTCCTCTTCGTCGTCCTCTTCGTCGTCCTCCTCCTCCTCCACTTATGGTGGTGGTGGTGGAAAACAAAAAAACATCAGCCCATGATGGTTTTGCACTTCGCCCGGGCCGAGAGAGACCACGCGCCGCCGCGGGCAGATGCCAGAAACCAGTGATCGGGGCGCGCCAAATTCCGCGGGCCAGCTGCTCCCGCAGTTTTTTGGCCAGCTCCAGGAATGGTGGGCTTGTTTTCCACCACCACCACCATAAGTTGGAGGGGGAGGGGGTCCTTCTCCTCCTCCTCTTCGTCCTCCTCTTCGTCGTCGTCGTCCTCCTCCTCCTCCTCCTCCTCTTCCTCCTCCTCCTCCTCCTCCTCCTCCTCCCTATTCCCTCCAACTTATGGTGGTGGTGGTGGTGGTGGTGGTGGAAAACGGCCCATCAAGGAATTCTTGTGTGTGCGAATCTCTTTTCAGCCGCGGCAGGTGCTGGGGAGATTTCCAGATCGTTTCGGACCTGCTCGGGCGCGACAAGTTGGCTCGCCACGGCTTCCGCTTCTGGTCCCTCTGCCTTCAACTCTGCTGCCGGGTAGCCCCAGGTTCCCAGGCTTCCTGTTCGCAGCCGGAGGCAGCCGCATCGCCCGGTGCATCCGGGGCCGCGAGCTCGGTTCCAGAGGCCCGAAGTGCTCGCGGCCCATTCGCGGGGCCGCTGGCGCTTCTGCGCGGCCCGTCCGCGGCCGATGTCCTGCCCCCCCGACAGCGACCGCTGTCGGTTGTGGGAAATGCTTGCTGTCGGGCAGTGCCTCGGTATCGCCCGTTCCCCATTCTGGCCGTGCCGACGCCACGGCGTGGATGAGGTCCTCGAGAGTGTTCTATCTTTTGCGACCTCCCAGTGGCTTATCGTCGCCACTGCCAAATACCATGCGAAATCCCTGCCAGAACGAAGCCCAGGACAGGTCCGCCCAGCACCCATTCGTTGTTGCACCAGCCTGTCTTCGCACCTGCTGGGTTGTCAGTCCCCTGTCCTGTCTTGCACGCTGTTCCGCATTTTTTTAATTTTTACGTAGTCCTCCTGGTCCTTCCGTCACCGTCCGGGATGCAACATCGATCCCCGTGAGGTTTTCGAGAGCCCCATATTCAAAACATCACGTCGTCGGTCCTAAATGCCTAGCCATCCTGGAGGGGCAGGGCGCGGAATCCCGCACCCCCACGAGACGGGGACCGCCTCTGGAGCAGCATCCCTTGACGCGCACGCGGCCGCCCCGAGCAGCCCCCGCGGCCCTCGAAAGACCAGGCTGGCCAAGAGGCGTCCTGACGCACCGAGCATGAAAGTTGCCCGCTTCTCCCAGAGGCCCGCTCGCTAGACCGCTTGCCTTAAGTCGGCCCTGTCCCCCTACAGGGGGAATATTCAAAACTTGCCCCCAAAAAATAGGACGATGTTGTCTACATGTTTGCATATTGTTTGGCGTATTTTCTGACATTTTTGAATTATTCGTCCGAAATCCGCCTGTAGGGGCCGAGCCCGACCTAACGCTAGACCGCTTGCCCCCAGAAGGCGAGGGCGCGGGAGGATGGCGACCGAGGTTCTCGGCTCTTGCTGACCTCCGTTGGACCTCTGCAGGTACCCCGGGGACTTGTGAGAGTCCTCCGGAGGCCACCTTGTGGGAGAACCAGGGGGTCTTCCCGACGCAACCAGGCGAACTCGCTCGGGGGGGTGGACGTCGCCCCCCCCCCCCCCCGCCCATTCATCGCCGATTTGGGCGTGGGTGTTCCTTGAGCCAGTCCCCAAGCCTTTCGGCTTCCCTCGAGGACGAGGGATGGTTGTGGTCTGTTCGTTGCCGTGGTGCAGCCTCTGCGCGTAGTTACCAGGAGCCCTACCCGGTACGCCAGGCCATGGCCTTCCCGGGGCGTTTGGCGGCGTGGATTTGTGTCACTGACGTCGGCCTCCGTCTGCTCTTTTTGGGGGCCCAGGGCCCGTCCGCAAAAAAATAAAACACCCACGTCGAAAGACAGATGGGGCCGACGTATTTCGAAGAGGGAAGAAAGCCATCAACATTAACTTTCGGCGCTCCGCGCGGATTCCTTGGATCCGCGCTGGGCCCGCCCGCCGGCGCCTCCGGCGCCGCCCCCTGGCGCAGATCCAAGAAATCCGCGCGGAGCGCCACAAGTTCATGCTGATGGTGTGTTCTTCTTCTTCTTCTTCCTCTTCCTCTTCCTCTTCTTCTTCTTCTTCTTCTTCTAGTATTTGAAAAGTGTCGACGTCGGAGGTCTGGCGTCCCGACTCGCGTCCGCGACAAATGGCGGCGGAATCGCCCCGCACACGCCTGGCTGCCGGGCCCTCAGTGGGAGTCTTTCCCCGCGCCGATGACGAGTGAAGACAGGTCCAAAGAACAGACGCAATGCCAGACAAGGAGCGTTTATAGTTACGAAGCGCAGGCGAACAGCTCATAGAACTGATAGACACATGACACGCACAAATCACATACATACCGATATTGTGCATGCAACGGCACGTGACATTGGTGTACACATATACGTCGATGTTGTACACGAGACGGGCGTGTGCATGAGACGCGTTTACAAACTTACATGTGCAAATGAGACACATACAGCCGGCATGTCTGACATTTTGATGGCAGAGGTTGGTTTACATCGTTTTACATCGTACGCACTGTAAGTCCATACATACTTGCCGCTTGCGCCAGACACATTCTAAGGCCGGACGCAGCATTGCCAGAACACATGACGCACACACACACACATGTGGCATGCACAACATGCGTTAACAAGCGCATGCGCTTAGCAAACGGAAAACAACGTACAGAGCGCTCAGAAGAGACAACCAGATGAGATGCCCGCACACACACACACACACACATACCACACGATGAACGACCCGACACACATAATCTATCAGACGCGGGTACGCTACGCACAGGACAGGCTTCACAACATGCACAGCATTAGCCTGGCCAGGATCGTTCTAAGCCAATGAGTGTAGCTCCTCCTGGATGACTTTTCTGCCATTTCTGAGTTCTGTGGATTGTGGTGGTTCTGAAGCCCTCTGGATTTACTTCCCATGGGCTTCCAAGCCGTCGGATCGAACGAATATCCTTGCCTGGAGCTTGATGCATTGTACTTTCCAGCAGGTTGGGGGAGAGGACGACGAGGGGCATGAACATGGTTGAGGTTGAGCAGGATGATGGGAAGTAGGGGGAGGCGGATGAGAAGGAGTGAGGCTGGGATGATGAAGTTTGACAGAGGATAGGGTGAGGGGGGAATGGGAGAGACCCGAAGTGACTTTTCCGCCACGGATTTGGAGTTTATGAGGGGCCTCTCGACAGCTCAGTCTCAGCGGAGCACATCCTGTAGGAAGGGTTCTGGGAACAGTGCGAACAGCTGCCAGGACCCGTCTCTTCCGCCCCATTCCTTTCGTTCCTCCTTCTCTTGTTCCTCGTCCTGCTCCTCATCGCTCCTGCACTCGCGCTTCGATTCTAAGGCTGATCCTCCTTCTCGTTCTTCCGCTCCGCCTACGTCCTCCCTCTCCCTCTCCCACGCGTCCATCGCGCCCTCCCCAAGATCCCCTCGTCCTCCTCGTGCCCTTCCCGCTCCCGTCCGGCCGCCCTCCTTCCCTCCATCCCCTCTCCTCTTCCACCCTGCCCTCCCCCATCCCTTCCTCCCCCCCGCCTGCCCCACGCTCGTCGTGCGTCCCTCTCTGCTCTCGTGCGTCCCTCCTCCTCCCCGAATGGTCATCGGATCGATGTCTCTGTCTGTCCATCAGCTGCCGTAGGCGGGCCCGCCTGCCTGCACGCAGCCTGCCGCCCTCCTCCTTTTACCTGGGGCCAGCCTCTCACTGCTCAGGCGCGCTCGCGCGCTCGACTGCCCCCCCCACGGGCCTCCTGCGAAGAGGGCCGAGGGGGGGAGGGGAGGCGGGGTGCGGGGTGACGGAGAGGTGGGGTCGCGGGCGCCGAGGAGGCCGACCGCGACAGCGATAACGACAAGCACGACGACGCCGGGCACGCCGACGAAGACGACCGCGACGGCTACAATGGCCAAGACGGCGGTGGCAGCGATGGTGTCGGCGACGACGCCGCCCGCGACAACGACGACGACCACGCTTACGAGATCACGACGACCACGACCATTACCACGACGACGCTCGAGAAGACGAAGGCGACGACCACGACGACTGCAAAGGACTGGCTCTTCAAAGACGAGATGAACGCGGCGGTCAAGAAGCAGGCGGCCGGTTGCGCGGCGCTCCAGCGTGTGCAGGCCGCCCGAGTCCAAGAAAATCCTTTCTTTCTGAGGACACCGTCGACGTCTCGTCGTCGTCTCGTTGTCGTCGCCTCGTCATCGCATCGTCGTCGTCATGTCGTCGGCGTTGTCGTCGTCCCGTCGTGGCTGTCGTCATTGATAGTTTTCGTCGTGGTGCTTGCTGGTCGTCGTCGTGGTCGGCTTAGTCGGTGTCGCCGTGGTCGTGGTCGGCGTCGTCGTGCCGTCGTCCTGCCTGTCCACCTTGTCCTGCAGGCGGCGGGGCCCAAGAAGCCCCTCACGTGCCTCTTCACGGCCTTCTCCCGGCCCGGCGAGGGCAAGCAGAAGACCGCCTGGGCTTTTCAAGGTCCCGACCCACGTGGCGCTCGCCCTCGCCAGAGGAGGAGGAGGAGGAGGAGGAGGAGGAGGAGGAGGAGGAGGAGGCGGAGGAGGAGGCGGAGGCGGAGGCGGAGGCGGA